TTATGTCTTTTTTTTCTTTCTCTTTTTTTTTTTTAGCTCATTTTGGGGGACAGTTTCCCTAGTGAGTTCATGAGTCTTTTCTTGTGTTTGTCGCGTCCCGTGCTGCGTATTCTTATTTTCTTTCCAAGATTTTCATGGGGGTTTTTTAAAATTCGTGTTCCCTTGTACAGTCCATTGTGAGGTTCTTTTTTTTTTCTCTTTTCTTTTTCTTCTCTTTATCCCTTGTACATGCATGTGTAGTTCAGGTCCTGCTTTTGGCTTAGTAAGTATCTTTTCCGTTTAATCCAGGTTGATAGGGCGTTTTTGTCGTGGTAGAGAGGTGTTTTGTGGATTTTCCTTGTTTTGTTTTGGGGGTTTTTCTTTGACGGTTTAGCTGTATTTTTTTTTTGGGGGGGGGGGGGGTATGTTTGTTTGATTGCTCTTATGGTTTCTAGAAATCTAGTTAGTTTGTCGTTGGCGGTGGTTTTGCGTTTTATTTTGCTGGTTTTTTGGGTTGTTGTTATTTTGGTTTTGCTTTTTCTGTTTTTTGTTTGTTTGTTTTCTTTCGTTGGGTTTCATCTTAGGTTGTACTTGCGAGAGTTAACATGCTTTATCCTCGTGCGTGTCTCTACCTGTGTGTTCTTGTTTTTTTGGTTTTTTTGTTTTGGTTTTTTTCTGTATCCTTGTCGATCCAGTCTACCTAGACCCCCCCCCAACCCACTTCTTCTTTCTTTATCTCTTTCTCTCTCTCTCTCTCTCACACTTCTTCTTGCCCTGTTGCAATACTTGACAATTAATTTTGTTTAAATTACGTTTGAGCATGTCTGTTTCAAAGCCAGTGTACCTGCGGTCGGCAGACTGCCCACAGGAGACAACAACCTTCCTAATCTGCTCTGCAGGAGAGAGAATATCTGGCCCAAAGACCATGGTAGGTGCCCAAAACATGGGGAACCTGTGGAGGGTCCACATTGTCAACAACGAGAGTAGGGCTGCTCTCTTTGTCTCCAGAATCACGATCAGAGGTAAACACTGATTTATTTGCGGACAACCCTTTCTCCATCAGAGGGCCGGATGGCAAAGAGATACAATCAACCAAGCTGACTCAACTGACTGTGGACAATGTACCAATCAGTTACAGCAACGAAGACATTTTAAAAAGTCTGGAGGGGATGGGTGTCGTCCCTCGCTCCAGGATTCTAATGGAGTTTGCCGTGACCCAAATGGGAAGCTGACCAACTGGGTAACGGGAAGACGCTTTCTATACATTGATCTCCCGGACAAAACTTTACCCAGAATGGTGGAAATAGGCCCCTTCAGGGCTCGCCTCTTCTATAGAGAGATGAGGGAGGGCACTCTGCAGTGCAGGCGATGTCTAGACACTGGACATTGGGCCAACAACTGCCCGAACCCTGAAAGGTGTTTGGACTGTAAGGAGGAGGATCACAGGCGAAGGGATGAGCAGTGCCCCAAGGCAATAAGTGTCTTTCGGGATCCTCGTAATGAGGATGCAAGTCAGGCTGTGACTGGTGCCCACCCTAATACTAACCAGGCAACTGCCAGGTGGGGAGAAGAAAATTCAAGTCGCTGTATCCGTACAAGTAAATGACGAGGGGCTAGAAAACTACAGCGTTAATGAAGGGGTAGTGGGAGTGGGGGGAGCTTTTGTTTCCACTTTCAAAACATGATAAAAAAAGAGACTACAATCTAGTCACATCATGTGTGAAGAACAATGTCAGCGAGGGTAGGGTAAGTGTTTTATTATAAATTATTTATTTCATTTATCCCGATAAGGTGTAGATAAGGCGTTACATATTTCGGCACACAAAAGATCACGAGTCTCATTAGATATAACTCCTCCCACTGCACCCTTTCAGTATTAACTTAGGTCCTCTGAATTATCCTACTATCTGTCGCTCACCGTCATTCCAACACGCACGCATACATTGTAAATAATGGGGAACTGTTACACACACGTGTTATAGCGAGTTTTGGAGTACCCAACGGATAAATAAAATAAAATTTACATTTTATACACATTTATGTATGCACCATGACTTACATTGGCATCCTTTTGGCACAATGACTTGTAACTCTGTTCAGTATTTGAATTTTTTAACTAGGATCCTCAGCGATGATGGAAACCTGTGCTACGGAAATCCTGTGGTCTCGCTCAGTCGAGAAGTTCCAAGCTGCAGCTAAGGGTTTCTGATGGAGACTCAAAGGCCTACAACAGAATTGTAGAGATGGAACCTTATGGTAGGAACATTGAGGTGAATAAAGAGGAGTGTGTCAACCATGTGGGGAAGAAGATGGGAACAGCTCTACGTAACCTCGTAAGTGACAGCAGCAAACGGAGGATCACTCTCGGTGCGAGGGGCAATGGAACTTTGGCAAGAAACAATCAGAAGGCTCTCAATCTACTACACAAGAGCTATACGAAAGAATAAGAATATATGGAAGACATAAGGAAAGGAATTCTTGCTTCAAAGTATCACGGCTTTTCCAGACAACCTCCAAATGCACCACCTTTGCCCCACTGGCACTGGATCTTGGTGTTTCTACAATGCTGCTGTTGCTCGAAATGAGGAGCCTGGCCCACACAAAATACTTGTACACACTCCTCTTAATTAAAGTCTCCTCAGCAAACACCTAGAGCCAGTGTACAAGCGCCTTTCTGATCCCAAGATTCTTCAGCGTTGCCTTCTCGGTGCCACTCAAAATGCAAATGAGTCACTCCACTCTAAAATCTGGAGCAATTACCCAAAGCATAAATTTGCCTCTTTGAAAAAGTTGCAGTTTTCTGTTCTTCTATCTACTGCTGAGTTTAACTTTGGCCATAACACTTCAGTTCGATTGAAGGAGTGTATAGGAGTCGGCCAGGGTCACCACAGCAATCATCTCAAGCTGCGTTGACAAATCAAGCGCCGACAAAATTCAGCTGCAAAGCAGGACAAAGCAGTGAAGCACAGACTGGCAATGAAAGAGGTGCCAAAGCACGCAGACAGCTTGAGTTACAACAACAGGAAGGAGTAACGTATGAAGAGCGGCAATATTTTTGAGAGGTAAGTGAGGTGTTATAGCTGCTTGTACTAACCAACACTTTTGGGGGGGGGGGGGTGTGAGTGTTTTACGGCGCTCGCCACTGCATAAGGTCATGTGAGCGCGCGGGACACACCTAACATTTTCAATTGGTAGGAAATTTTGAATTTTGCCCGCGCGGCGGCCTAAGTCTACTCTTGTTGATTCTGAACCACCAAGGGATCTTTGACGTGCGCAACTTGCACATAGGACCTCCGAGATTTTTCGCCCTTGTCCGAGAAGGCTAGGCGTAGATCTTTCATACCAGAAAATCAGGGGTGTGGCTGAAAGACAGCAGTACGAAGGAGCCAAAGAGTAGCAATAGAAAGGCTGCAGAAAGAGTCAGGAGTCCAGTGGAGGGGGCAAAGGAGGTGCGGGGGTGTGGGAAGAAAGTGGAGACGAAAGCAGACGCCAGAATATTGCAAGAGAGAAGGAAAGGAGGTGAAAGGAGACAATTTTAGAGAAGAAAATTTTTCGGTCGCTACCCGGATACGAACCCGGGACCTTTGAATGAGAGGCGAACACCTTAACTTCTAGGCCACATTTGTCAAAGCCAAGAGCAAAGAAACGGTTGAAGAGGAGGATCAGAGTTTGATTCGAGCTGAGTGTTTGTTCACAAAATTTTATATAGAACACAATATTCCTTTAAAGACTGCGGACCACATGGGCAAGCTTCTTAGAGCTGCTTTTCCAAATGCGGAGGATGTAAAAAAATTTACTAGTTGTTGCACCAAACCGACCCATCTTGCCAAGGAGACGGCAAAGTATGAAATTTAAATGCTGTGCAAGACATTGAGGGCTACACCATACTCCTTTGTCACAGATGGTAGCAATATGTTGGATGATAAGCTGTATCCAATTGTCATAATGAATCCTGATCAAACTGCACAAAAAACTGAGCACCAATTACTATCTCTTCCGTCACTGGAGTCAGTTTCGACTGGGGAGAATATTGGAAACTTAGTTCTAAAAGAATTAAAAATCAACAATGGAATTTCTCATGTCCCAACATACAACTGGTCGTCGTCCTTGAGCGTTAGTTTTAAAAAATAATAAAAGACCTCAAATCGTACCACCACTTCACACTCAACGGCTCTGGCGGCTGCAAGAGAAACATCGATTCAGAAGAGGAGAGGCAACCAATCCTGCAAAAGGATGCCACTGTTCCAAAGGATTCATCACCTGAAATTCCATTAACAGGGTTGAGTTTGAAGAGACAGTGGCATCTCTAGAACGACATCCATGAATTTCTTGTGGAGAAGTTCCGCGACACTGTAGCATCTCAACCCAGTGTTCCCCACCCTACTGCAGACATGGATTCAGAGCCAGTGGACAACAATGGCAATGACAGTGACCATGATGAAGCAGTTCCTGGGCCATCAAGGGTAGCAGCCAAGCCAGGTGCAAAAAGGCCAACACTGCAGGGTCGTGGACGAGGCGGGAAAAAAACCTCACACAAACTGACTAGTAAGTCATTTTTAATCGACATAAGTGCTTTTGTTTGTCTTAGTTCTTTGTTGACTCAAATAAGTTAATAACATGTCTGCATAGAAGGCTGGGAGTCATTGTTAGATCAAATGTTAGGGAATGAAGTAAAAAATTTCAACGGAAAACTTTAAATGTGATTTTCTCATTTGTAGGTTTCTCCTGTCTCCCGACTTCAAACGGACACATCTCAGCTTCTAATCAAGATAATTGCATGAAATAAAAAGCAAAATGCCCAGAAATACGTGTAGATTTAGGAAATTTACTCCACTAAACTCCCATATTTTTGACAATGTGAAGGGTTTTCTCTTGCAGGCACACATAATCTAAACTTGTCAGTAGCGAGTGGTAGCACACAGGTCAACGGGCCGGTAGCGAGTGAGTTGGGAAATCTATGACAAATTACTCACATAGTGTAGTGTTCAATGGGATCACAGATTTCAACAAGAATGGAAACAATCTGGAAACAACATGTAATCTCTGTGGAGTTTTAAATATATCACAATCACAAATCAGAATTCACATCTTAAAGTAGAGATTCAGATGTCAATATTCGAATAGCAAGATGATCAATTAACGCTGGTATAAAATTTACGTGTCTACTTAAAGAGTTGTGAATCCCTTCTGATGGGACGTCCATGTGACTTTACAATGACTCCCTTGTCCGGCAGTTAATTCCAACAGAACATATCAGTTCCCGTAAGTGACAAACAGTGCAGGAGCGTATCAGGTTCATACTACTAAACTGCTGTTCATCACATACTCTGACTGTAATCCATTGCCAAGTACCAACAGTATAACACAGACAGGTCGAGCACTGAAGCCTCGAAATCACACATCAATCGCACTCTGCCTGCAGTCCCGTTTTTTTCTTCTTCTTTATCTTTGTAAGATATCCCTCAAACTATGAATCTCTCTAACTACCGAGGCCAATCCCGACGAATTCGAGCTATCCGTGTTCTACTGTATTTAGCACTGGGAAAATCTGGACTTAAAACAAAGAGGGGAACAGTACCTTTCTTCAGAACAGAACATCTTCTCAAACAAAGCTTTAGATCTAGAATAAAACACACACCATTACGACTTTGGTCCAGTGTGAGTGCATAGTTCCCTCCACAGATGCTACACTCTACGTTCCTCCTGTGAAATGAGTCTCTCAGCACTCCCGCGGTCACTACTGGACCTGTCTGTACTGCTGTAACCACTGGAAATGTCCCGATTTGTGAGTGGTTCAGCGTGGTTTACCCCAGCTCTACCTCTTTGATGCAGATCCTCCAGAGGAATGGCTTCCCCTTTCTGTTCATGCACAACAGTCTCTGTTCCCTTAGAACCTTTCATCTGGACTTCCAAGTCGACTGCCTTCAAGGTCTTACTTCTTCTCTTTTGATCCAGTTTGATCCTGTAAATACAAAGGCTGGGTTTTAATTTAAAGATACATTCGTAAGTACCATGAAAACTGTGGAAGTATGTAAACTTTCTGAAGTGCAGGTGCATAATTTAAGTTCTGTAATCAAATGACTATGTAATAACATATAACACAAACTGTCCGGAATCTACAAAATAGGATCTCTATGCTGCATGTTGTCATTTTAATGTATCAAAAATGCAATTATTGCAAATTGAGGAAAACACATTGAACTACAAGAGTCAAAAATTCTAACAATGAGGTCTACAGGTTTCTGTTTCAAAGGGATGGCAAAAATCAGGAGCCCCTTAAAATAAATCGGTGATCACCCAGAATGTCCAGTCTGACAAATTCAAGACTGCCAAACCCAAGTTAGAAACTCCATGCAACTCATCAAAACTAGAAATCAGATGATGAATTAAAATAGAGAAGCAGGCCTACGTTAGTCAGCTGCATATAAGGAGAAGGTACATTAGACCATATTAGGGGTGATATTCTTTCTGCCCACATCTGTCCATGTAAAAAAGAAAAGTGGATGTACGCTTAAATGATAAAAATATAATGACTCAGTATGCCCTGCAAAAGAAACATGCCAGCTGGTATCCAAACAAAGTTTTAATACACGCACAATGGCAACATTACTCAGAAAGTGTCTGCAAAAAGAGCACAAATTATTCAACCTATTTTTTTAATGAAGATGTTTTCCTGCCCCCATCGACAAAATTTACGTCATTTAGGAAGCAAGCTTCTGACCCTGCCAACCTGGACTGAGAAGGGTACAACATCCCAGCAGAAAGACCGAGATTTATTTTTAAAACTTCACCCCACTCAGAAATCGAGCTTGGGTCTTCTGCATGCAGCAGTGAAGTGCCTGACCACTACGCCACAGATGCAGGTTATACATTATTGAAAACACATAGTGCCTCATCTGTCAAATAAGTCATAAGTACTCACAGTCTTATTATTTTATCCAGCAGTTCCATGTATCTTATAAATTCCTTCTCTCCAAATATCTGGAAATATAAAAAAAACAAAATGTTAACAAGTTACCAACATTTTTTCTGTCTCTGTCCAATTCATCATTTCTATACTCACAAAACTAAGTTAACTGTTACGTCTTGCAAAACACATCACAACTAAAAAAAAAAGACTAATCACTATGTACAGGAAATAAAGAAGAATGCCCACTTATAGGTTATTTAAAAATTCAGTAATTCTTTCTAGGCGTTTTCAGATCAAGCATGTTTTAGTAGAGGTTTTACGGCGCACGCAACTGCATAAGGTCATATGAGCGCCAGAAGATTAGAGGCGTTACAAGAGAGTAACAAACATAAAAAAGAAGAAGGGAAGAAAAGGACGATAGATGTTGGATAGGAAAAAAGGAGCAAACCACACCAGAGCACCCACCAACCACCCGCAGATCAAGTATGAAACATGTCGAGAGACCAGGGTGAAAAACAATTGCATGTGTTACAGAACCACCAATACAGTGAATGCTACAAAAACAAAGGCACTAAACTTAAACTCATCCAAGTCTTCACTTGAATCTGCATTTGAACAAATTCATAACAGTGTTGAGGAGAGGACAAAAAGCCAAAATAAACACAAGAAAGTCCCAAAACCAAATAATGGTGAAATGGTACAGGTTTAATGCCCCTATACTATCAACACTATTAGGTTATTCAAGAGGTAGTTCTGAGTTTAACGTCCATTTCCGAAAGTACCATGCAAATGGAAAATCGAGTAAAGTGCCCTTCCAAGGAACACAACATCAGGTCGAGCTGAGATTCTAATCCCCAAACCCCACTATCTCACCATTACGTGTCCAGCATCCTAACCACTAGGCTTCTGACCCTACCTTCCCAAGACCAATCTGAGAAAAAAGTCCAAAGACAAAACAAAAAGTGGAAAAAAGAAAGCAGACAAGACGAGGGTATCTAATGACACAAATGACAAGCCAGATAATGTGAACATCTAAGAAGGCAAAAACCTTGACGGAGCTTAAAGGGGAGTGAACACTGAATTGTGGTCAAGAGCAAGACACAATAATCCAAGCACAAAAGGTGGCTGGCAAACAAGTGATCAGACAGTGTTTGTTGCGTCTACTTCTTCACAGAATCTTTTGCCTTAACCATGACAAAATGGGTACATTATTAACCCTTAAAACCCTGAATTCTTTTTTTTCTCACCTCCCTAGAATCCTGAATTAAACTTGAGATGCTAGAAAAAATTAGGTAGGTTCATTGTTTTGTTTACTGTGTCTTTAATTGTTAGATTTTACTGAAGTTTGAAAATGTTATTAATAATATATATGAATGAACAGTCTGAACAAAAGGGAAAGGGGTTAAAACACTGGTTTTTAGGACCAACTCTACGAGTTAAGTCCTGTGTGTGATCCCCGACTCCATTTCAGTCAAAGTATCATTAGACCCAGCCGTAGATCTAGCCTCTGGTAGCTGTAGTGGTGATCCCCTGCCAATTCCACTATCGTCAAAATCATCATCGATATTATGCGGAACATTGCAATCGCCTTCAACGGTCATATTTATTTATATATCCCACTGGGAGATCATATTGGGGTCTGGTTCAGGATAAAAAATGTCAAAAATTTTGCGGCCTGAGGGGCCGGGTAGCGAAAAGTGACTTATTTTTCTTAAAAACTCGCAAAATTTCCAAACTTTCGGTGTAGAACTGCTCTCATGACATTATCGGTACTTTCTGCTCGCGACAGCTGGAGTTACATCCCCTGTTTCTAGCACTGGGAATTAAACGATAAGTCGACCAATGGTTACCAGCGGTATAGGAAAATACGGCGTCAGCGGTTACCAGCGGGTATAGGGTTTTAATGGTTAAGCTATTTTTCCCTGCAGACTGCAACTTTATGACAACTGATGACAAAAGGATGCTGTACCTTAGCAACCAATGATAGCATGCCAGACTTAAAACTTTATAAAATATTTTACAGTGAAGTCCTGTATGCCATTGTGAAATATATCTCCCTATCATAATAATAAATAGTCTTCATTTCCTTATCAAATTTAACACTTTCCACCCACCCAGCTTGCAGAAAGTACCTTTGTCCCCACATACCAGGATACAGATGGAGTAGCCTACATCAGTACTATACCTGTATCTCGGCAAAGATACCCATATCATATGACATTTTCAGCACATTGTGAAAGTTGAACATGATGATCACATGTTCACCAACAAAGGAATTAGAATCGGAACTGAAAATATTAAATCTAGCACATTCATCACCCGAATCCTCATCATGGCGTCAGGGTAAAGCAGCTCTCAAGTCAGCTCTACTCAACATTTTTCAAAAAAATTTACTCTAATAGTAGTAAACCAACTGATTTTGCGCCCTCAAAGGCCACACAAACCATTCAGAAAGGAAATTCTAATAACTTTAACAAGTGCGCATGTCTAAAAGGAGGAGATCATTCCTATAACATTTTTGTTGCTATATCACACAATCACTGAACAGCATCCCATGGGGGAAAGAGACGGCTTCTTACCATCGCAGATCGGCGTCCTATGAGAGCAAAGTGTTAAATTTCAAATACGTAAGGGAATGAGAAAATCACTTACAACAGGACTGTGCCGGGCATGCTTGTACAAACGGGCAAACTTTTCTATAAAAACAGCATCCTTGCTGCCAGCTGCTGATGGACACAGGCAATACAAATAAAGCTGAATAGTTTGCTTTGCCTCTCGTCTTGGCACAGATGAGTCTCCCCACTGCAATGTTGTTACTGAGAGAGAAGCAAAAGAAAAAAAGAGAAAATTAGCACTTTAATTAACAGCAGTTATATAAAACAATCTGAACTCAGAAAACCCTGATGAAAAATTGTTCCTGAAAATGTCTAATCGCTTTGCCATTCATTATGATAATAACAAAAAACTCCACTGTCTCTTTTCTGAATATATATTTTCCAAGGAAGAAAGTGATCTAATGGGCAGTGAGAAGAGAAGGGAGGAGATTTCATATTTATATGAGTGTGCAGTGCTAATGAAGCATCAGAATAAGATCTAAACCCAGACCTAAAGGGCTTTCTGCCTTCATGACTGGCACGATCAGCAAGCCAACCCTTTCATGGATCCTGGAGAGGAAGGAGGAACAGCTATGGCATTGTACAGTCTACAACAAAGTAAGTAACAATGAAATGATGTTGGGGACACAATGCACTTGAAAAGGTATCTCAAAACTATTATTAAACAGATGCCACACAACTGTCGGTATGAAAGAGTATGAATTAAGTAGGCTAGATCTAGTATTCTTATCTCATCAACATACAAGCCAGTCTCATCCTGCATACAATCAACATTTCGAACATGAAGCAAGACAGCCTTGTAAACTGTTCACCCTGCAAAGACTTAATGTAATGTATTTGTTGCAAAAAAGACAAACAAAACAAAAACAAAACCTCACATAGCAATGCCAATGAAAATTTAAATTTTCGCTTTAGCCCTTTTTTATTTGGTAGGCCTACCTGAGAAAGAATTTTCAATTCTACTTAACAATCGGTTCATAAATTATAAAAAAGTTAGTGGGTTGTAAAGGTCGGCAAAATATGAATGGCCCACATATATATAGGAAAATACTCCTAAACAGTGGACCACGCAGTAGCAGATTCTGTAAGAAAATCGACGATATCTCAGTAATTAATCGGAGTGTTAGAAAGAAACTTGGCTTACCCGAGGTGTTCTTGGGTGGAGAAATCATTTCTACCGTCAGATTTACTAACCGTGTCGAAGTTATTTTGTTATAATTAAAATTTTGGTGTTCATATTACGATTTTGCAATAAAGGGGTGTCGGGATGAATCCCTTTTATTTATAGCATCGTATCACAACATGGGATCTTTAAGAATATGTTTGCAGCGTGACTAAATAATGGCAAAGCTTTCTTTGATGACTTTAGACCATGCCAACCATAAAATATAATTAAATTCAATCTGGCATGCCATTCAATTAAAACTCCTTTTTCCCGTTGAGAGGCGAACACCCCTAGGGGAGATAAGCTCCCCTCGGAATACCCCCATTGCAATGTCACAGGGGAACAGAGAGAAAAACAACCGCATGTGCGTGCCTGCCATTGCCCTATTTCAAGTGACCAAAAATCCATCCACAAGCAGGAACAAATTTTCGCCGCGCGCGGAAGCCCGATTGGCATTGCTACCTCACACACCGAATATATATAAATATATATATATATGTATGTATAAATATATATATATATATGTATGTATGTATATATATATATGTATATATATATATGTATATATATATATATTAATATATATATATATGTATGTATGTATATATATATATGTATATATATATATATATATATATATATATATATATATATATATATATATATATATATATATATATATATATATAAAGAGTGAAAAGAGTTGTGATAACAAGCAAAGACAGAAATATTCAAGATTTTATCTTACCTGCATTTGAAAAAGCATCCAAAGCTTTCATCCGATAGTAGTAGTGATTCTCAGCTGGGGAAATTATTATGACCATGTTTAAATGAAATAATTGTGGAGTAAAGCAAACATTTGGTATATAAGTAGTAGGCCTACCAGTACCGTATGAGAAGATGACAAAAGACGGCAAATCATTCTGAAGTTAAATAAATATCACACGGGGTGCAATGACAAGGGTTAGACAATGAAAAAAAAACCCATCACAAACATTGCAATGATGGGAGTCAGTGAGTTTAAGAAAACATGTTAATTAGAAACACCACAATATGCACCCTGTCCACTGTGAAACTTTTTTTCCCTCTGTTACTATTACACCTTAATAGATCCGACACAATCATCACTACAGCTTTTTTATATTAATTTGTGACCATATATATATAACAGTTCACTTACTAGAACAAGCAGCATTCTGTACTTCTTCAGAGAGTAATGTTGGTTCAAAATAGATGCTTTTAGTCTTTTCCAGACAATGGTGTATTTTTTCTCTCAAGAACTGCAAACAAATAACAAGGAAAACAGTGAACGTCACATAAGAAGGTAAAAATATAATATTGATAAGTCTTACATTTTTAAAGAAACATAGATTTTTCACTTTCAGTAGTTAGGCCTATCCATATTAATGCTCATGTACAGTATGGTAAATAAAACTCTTTGTTGTGGCAGTAAGTTCTGTCAAAATAATACTCTTGGATTATTATTAAAATGTTTCAAGAACGTACTTTTGACAGCTTGGCTTGATTGTAGTGAATAGTGCCAATGCCAAACTTCATAAGGAAAATCATGTGCTTTATCAGTTTATCATTGGAAACTAGTTTGACTTACTAAAAAGTAACTCTTCCTTTCAACTAAAATACAAACCAAAACATACTGATTGTGAATTATGAAGGAATTAAAATGGATTTATTCACAAACAATCTGTGTCACTGAGACTTTAAAAAAATCATCTCCCGCTACCCTTTCAACAAAGATTTAGGCTTATTTTATTCTATTGTCAAAAAAACAGGTGCTCATGCTCGCTCAAAAAGAATTTCCTCATAAATCTGAGAGAATCCCAGCTTACTTTCAGAAAAATGCTTACCTTAGGAACATCCGATCCAATGTTCACATGTGGTTTCCGAGCTGATTTAAGAGCAAATCTCACAATTTGCCTTTTTGCAAAGAGGAACAGTATGCAAAACAGCTGGGGAATGTAATAAAAGGAATAAAATAAACTTATGAAATTAAAGAACTTAAGTTACTACAATGGCATAAATCATATACTCCGCTCTAAGTACAAAGGTACAAATTTACCATTACTTTGGAACCTGAGATTCTGAACTTGAAAATAAAATATGCAAGCCAGACAAATGGTCTACTGATATGCTGAAGAACTTTAAAAAGCTCAATGGAAGACGATACACAAGCAATACGTGTGTAATCCACAGATAGCACTGTATGCTTCCAGGGAAGCTAAGAATGTTTAAGCTTTCCAGGACGCCACAGTTGTTTCAGGGTTGTGTTCTAGGGTCTGCTGAGGTAATACTTTTAGGTAGTTATAAAACATACAGGCATGCTGTAGAGCATGGAGCATACCCTATTTCATGGCAATTATTATGATTATTAATATCATAACATTTTTGGAAAACAACTCATAGAATAGAGTAGCGGAAACAATTTCACGATTTCAAACACCTCGTTTGAAAATCACTCAAGAAGATGACACATGGATCCGGAAGATAGAACCAGAAACCAAGTAGACTTCATACTCAATTAGAAACATTTAAGAAAGGCAATAAAAATTATCTAAATCATAGCCACAAGCAGACTGCGATTGTGACCAAGTACCATTCATGTGTAAACTGTATGAGACCGAAAAAAAATGATTTAAAAGTCAAAGCACTAACCCAAATTTGAAACAGATCTTTTAAAGACAAATCGAAGACCTGAGAACAAGACTGAGCCAAACGTAAGTTCAAAATTGCAAAAATTTAGTTCTTGGTATCTTGAGAACACTGTCCCGCATTTAAGGATAGAGCACATGACACTCTACCATTAACGGTTTGGCATAGTGAGCAAAGAGGAAAAATTGCACCATACCCCAAAGCATATATAGACATAAGTCCAATTTTTGTTTGCCCTTTTTCTCCATTCAGCAAAAATTGAATAGGCAGTCTTGTTCTCAGATCTTCAATTAAGACTTGAAAGAACATTTCCTATTAGCCCATTGACTTAAGCCGTAAGCAATAAATTTCAACCTCTGAAAAACTTGTAACTAAATCTAAAGAACTATGGGGTAAAATGAAAGATTCTAAATCTAAAAAGGAAGCTTCGGAAGAAACTATCCCCTAAAAGCTAAGAAAAAGAAAAAAAAAAAAAACAGATGACCCTAGACATATCATAACTGATGGCAGAGAGAAGGCAGACAAAATCAAATAAATGTTGAAAAGTATATCTTAAACAGGGTAATAAAGAAAAAAATGCAAAGGAGCAAAAGAAACATGGACAAAATGATCAGTGTCAACAAACAGAGCAAAAAGGTAAAATCATATCAGAGGCATTTTGGTAAAATCAGGCGCTCGTCAAAATAGTGAAATCCAAGATATCAGCATTTTTCCACCAGTTTGGCAATTTTTACAAAATTTTTGTCTTTTGTCTCAACATCTTTTAAGACCATATAAAAACACATATTCCATTTGAATTTTACTGAAAAACATTGATTAATGGTAAAAAATATGTAGTAATTTTCAGTTTTCAAGGACCCTCAAGCAATAGAAGTTACCAAACTTTGGCTGCCATTTTCTCGCTAATTTTACCTCTGAAACCAAGCTACCCCACCTCCTTCAATTGCAAATATCTTGAATTCTGTTCAAGATAGATGGATATTTTTTCAAGGAAAGCAAGGCATATGATTAAGCTTTCAAATGATACCAATAACTCCACATGCCCCCCCAAAAACGAGCATCTGATTCCACCACGTCGTGACTACTATAATTTCTCCAGACACAACAGACTATTAGTTAGCGACTCAAGGAGGGTTAAAGCTATATTCAAATACGCATTAGAGGCAAGAAAACGTAAATAGTACATTGGGAAAAATAATAAAATTCATCATCTCAATTTTCTTACCAATGCTCCAATAGCAATGAAGAGCACAACGCTGACAAGGGACAAATCAGTAGACATAATGAAGGAATTCTTGACCCATGCGGATGAAAATCTGTCTGCAATTAAAAATTTAAAAAATACAAGCTGGAATGAGTTTCAAGAAGCTTCATTACTTTGCAATCTAATGAAAATAAGCTACTAAAAATCCACTTCTGAGCCCCATGAGTCCCAAGAATGCAGCCCACCATTATGTTTAAATCACCACCTAAAGTCTGTAAAAAGTCCAGATTTCATTTTTAGAATTCACTATGCATCTAATGAGCAAAAAAAAAGTTTAACTGGCAGCAAATAATTATCTGACATATTCTTAATAGAATCTCCTGATAATGACAGTAATGACAAAGTATCTATAGGTAATTCTACACAATATCTTACTGGCCAAACATGATGGCTGTGTACTGTGCTTTTCGGATTGGTCATTCATGTGTGCAGTTTATGGTATACATATCAACTCCTGTTCTGCGTCTGTGCCGAGATGCAAGTCTTATCAGTAACTTCATACCGTGGAAGTTCCCGGCGGGCTGCCGAGGTCACTCAACGTGTACTGTTAGTGTATAGCGAGCGGCCCTGGAAACATGTGTTTTCGCCGCGAATACCGTGGCACAGGACACAACCCTCATTCCCAACTCCTCCCATAGAATGACCAAAAATTTGGAAAGAATTCGTCATCTTCATCCCTAGCATTAATAAAAGTATGCCAAACAATCACATGAGGACCGCTTCTAAGTGATGACATTGTTCGTGTGTTTGTTACCCTACGTCTATGCCATCATATTTTCAAAACAGTAAAAGGAGTGTGGCCAATAACCTTTATAATATTTTTTGAAAGTTTTGCTCTTAAATTTTTCTTTTTGCCTGCACAATGCTATTTAAAACTATATTATATGGAATCTAGATCTAGCTCTTAAATTTGTATCAGGTGATATCATATAAAAGTGGACTTGGGATGCTTTGTGAACAAACTCCTCCCTTATTAAACCTAGCCCACACCTTTGAAACTTTGCAGGCATCCACAGCATCCATGTGGCTAGGACTTAACTTTTAAAAACCCATGCAAACTGCTTTCCCCAATTTTTCCAAAATGCTTTGTTTCGTCCACACAGAGTTCTAATCTTGGGAAAGTCTGTTTTCTAAGACGTCATTGTAAACAAGTGAGGTTTCCGTTCACTTGCTGGGCACACTATTCCACACCTTTGAAGTCCTGGAGTGTACAACCACGAAAGGGAAATAGAGAATCAATCTATACATCTATTATATATTTGGCAACTTGGAAATACGTGTGTTACTTTTCTCTCAAGATTTATTGCTCCATTCCAGTAGAGTGTATATAGTAGGCCAATGACTTTCAGTTGATGTTAATGCACCGATCATTCCTTTCATCGAAAGGGGGCCAAGCTAGTTTTATATAAAAATCAATCTCTTTAGAAAGATTTTGTATAGTATAGGAAAGTGCGTAAACTGCCATAATTTTGTCAAGACCAGGTGGTATAATAGTGGTTTTCGGTCTGTCTTCCATCATGATTTGATGCCCATTGAGTACATGATAGAGTATTTATATCTAAATTTAATAGTAATAATAATATTAATAACAGTGGTCGCTCGTTACAAAAGTCCTCCCGGTAATCTATAAATCTAGGATCTAGATCTAGATCGGAGTGGTTATCCCTACAATTGTGCGAAGAATTCTGTCTAGTTATCCGTACAACATTGTACCGTACAATAGTGCGAATAACTCTGTCTAGTTGTCCGTACAACGTTATACGCACAATTGTACGAATTGCTACAGGTATCCGTACAATAGTAGGCCTACATGCCCACAGGCCTACTGCCTACATGTTCTGTCTTAGTAGATCTAAAAATCTAGGTCTAGATCTAGAATCTAGATTCTAGATGAGTGTTTCCAATATTCCACCAGCTGAAATTAAAAAATTTTTGTTGAAACCGTGCTGTAAAAATATTTAAGCTTAGGCTGTCGTTATTCTCACCAGGGGTTAAAATAAAAATATAATTTTATTCTCACCCAGGGTGAGGGTAAAATGAGTATTAGTATTATTCTCACCCAGTCTGAGAATGCAATGGATTTTTTTTCTTAGGCCTACCTCAGTGATGATACAAAATAATTTGTGAATTGTAAGAAGTTCGTGACCTGCCCCAGAGCGCTGGCCGATTTTTCTAGGCTCCCGCGGGGATTGTTGTTTCATTTTTTTTTAATCTTGAGAGTATGCACGCACATCTTCACAAAAACCCTAGACGTATTCTAAATTCAGAAAGGAATTCATTTTTGCCAGCATAGTATGTTTTTTAAGATAATAGCCTGAACTGAAAGCTGTTTAATGAAATCAGGTTAGTAATAGTCGTTGTAATGTTAGAATTGGCATTTGTTTACAACACAAAATAACATGTTTAATTGTTATCCCTAACAGAACCCACAGTTATTTTTAAGGCACGTACTGTAGTGAAAATAAAATAGAAGCAACAGAAATGTGGTTTCTTAGGAGACTGCTAAGAGTATCGTGGAAGGAAAAGAAATCAAATGAGGTAGTGCTTGAATAAGCCCACGTGAGACGCTCAATGTTAAAAAAATCAGGAAACGACAAATGCAGTTTTTGGGACACCTGAATAGACATAAGGGTCATGAACATCTAGCTTTCACTGGCAAAATTGAGGGCAAGCGAGGCAGGGGTAGGCCCAGAACAACATACTTAGGGAACCTAAACAAATGGGTAACAGGGAAAAATCAGGGAAACGTAGCTTTTTTGAGAGCAACCGAGTAAAGAAATGAATGGAAAACCATGATCGTCGATGTCTGTCGCAGATCTGGCACTGGATGATGATGATGACCGTAGCCTAGGCTAGTGCCTTGACCCCAGGCTTTTTTTTCTTCTTAATTTTGATTGGTTAATAAACCATTCAAGAGTAAAATTTTCCATTACAGCATCAATAAATACTGTAGGAACAAAATGTGACGCTATTTGCTCAAAAGATAAAGTTTTCCCCCAAATCGACAATAGTCGCCTCCCGTGCTCGATAGCTGGCCCGCCCATTGGCAATTTTAGTCGCCTCGCGCACTCAGTGGAATCGCGTGCTCAGCGGAATGAGAGAGGGGGGCGCGTTTTGTCGCCTGAGGCGCTCAGTGAAAGGGGTTCTAAGATGCCCGAAACGAAAAAAAACGGCTGAGAATAGTCCCGGGGTGAGAATAATATCTAGTTTATCCCCACCCGGGGTGAGATTAATATCCAGTTTATCCTCACCCCGAGTGAGAATAATCCCACATTCTAGATCATGAGTGTTTCCAATATTCCACCAGCTGAAATCTTAAAATTTTTCGTCAGACCTCCTCTGCCAATCTGATGCAAGCCGCCTCATTGATGGTGTTCCCACCATGTAAAAAAAATAGTACGTCTAGCTAGATCTAGATGGATCTAGAAATGTGACAATGTGTTTTGCGTAGAAACCGTGCTGTAAAAATATTTAAGCTTAATCTACCTCATTCTGTTGATAGTTCAGATCTGATGGCCGAAATGACAGCATGTCTGCGTTTGAAGAAGTATTTTAATATTATGAGTGAGGGTTCGAATCCCGGTCCCGGAAGGGAATTTTGTTTGTTTGTTTTTTTCTTCTTCTCTCTCCTCCCCAGACTGACCAACAATTTTTTTCCCATAATTGTTTGTTTTGACTTCAAAGATTTCCACTCATGGTTTTGTGTAAAAACAAAGAAACATAATAGTCATAATTATAGATCTACTTATATTTTAATAGAAGTATAGAGTACAGATCTAGATCTAGCCTCTAGCCTACTTTTCCTTTTAGGCCTACCAATTCAGGCTTGGTTAAAGTTATATTATGGCTATTGTTAGGGGACCGTACACCCCAATAGCGCTTGTCGCAAGGGGACCGTACGCCCCCATAGAGTTAAGCGCTAGGGGACCGTACGCCCTACCAGCGCTAAGGCAAGGCTTGATTTTAAGGGCCCATACGCAGATGTGCATGCATCTGGACTTTGCAAAAATGCTGGAGGAAAACCGCCAATTTAACGAAGCTCCTGACATTAAGAGTTATTACTACAGACTACAGGACTACAGGACTACAGGAGAATGTTTAAAGGAAGTGGCTATCCTCACCCGGGGTGAGAATAAAAATACGATCGACCTCTCACCCCGGGTGAGACTTGCCACCGTTGGCTATTCTCACATGTTGTGAAACAAGACCTGTTTTTCCTAAGGTGGTGTCAATTGTCACAGAGTGACGCGGTGGCAATTGACAAAAATTGACTTTTTGTCACTTGCCACCGAGTAAATTGGAGCTCTTTTGCGTTGGTGGGTAGATCTAGCTTATTGTGCTCGAGTGTTCGGAGTTGTGCGTTCGCCTCTGTGTGTGTGTGTGTGTGTGTGTGT